ATATACTGTGTCTCCCTCTCTCTCTGACCCTCCCCTGATCATGCTGTCTCTCTCTCTCGCTCTGTCTCTCTCAGAAATAAATAAAACATTAAAAAATGTTAAAAAAAAAAAAAAAAAGAATACATTCATTGGGAGTAGATTCCCATGATTCATCGCTTACATACAACACCCAGTGCTCATCCCAACGAGTGCCCTCCTCAATGGCAATCATCCATTTTCACCTCCCCCCCTACTCCCCAAGAGCAACCCTCAGTTTGTTTTCTGTATTTAAGAGTGTCTTATGGTTTGACTCCCTCTCAGTTTGTAACTTTTTCCTTTCCCTCATGGTCTTCTGTTAAGTTTCTCAAATTCCACATACGAGTGAGAACATATGATATCTACTTTTTCTGACTGACTTATTTCACTTAGCATAGTACCCTCCAGAAGGAACACACACTTTAGTGAGGGGAGCAGACCACAACCAGTTATGAAAGATATATATCACACGATATTTTAATCACAGGAGTAAGCACAAAGTGCTGTGGGAACAGAGGGAAGGAATATGTAACTTAGGCTGGGGACGGGGACCTTGAGGATAGTGAGAAAGGCTTCCTGGAGGAGATAGTTTCTTTTTTTTTTTTTTTTTAATGTAGGATTTTTTTTTTTTTACAAATAGTTTATTGTCAAATTAGTTTCTACATAACACTCAGTGCTCATCCCCAAAGTGCCCTCCTCCATGCCCATCCCCCCCTCCCCCCCACATCCATCAGTCCTCAGTTTTTGTCAGCATTCAAGAGTCTCTCATGGTTTGCCTCTCTCCCTTTCCCCCACCATTTCCGCCCTTCTTCTCCCCCTTGGTCCTCCGTCAAGTTCCTCCTAATCCTCCTATACGTGCAAACATATGGTATTTGTCCTTCTCTGCCTGACTTATTTCGCTCAGCATAACACCCTCAAGGTCCATCCATGTTGCTACACATGGCCAGATTTCATTCTTTCTCATTGCCATGTAGTATTCCATGGTATAGATAAACCACATCTTCTTGATCCATTCATCTGTTGATGGACACTTAGGCTCTTTCCATGTTTTAGCTATTGTGGAGAGTGCTGCTATGAACATTGGGGTACATGTGCTCCTATGCCTCAGCATTTCTGTATCCCTTGGGTAAATTCCTAGCAGTGCTATTGGTGGGTCATAAGGGAGTTCTATTGTTAGTTTCCTGAGGAACCTCCACACTGTTTTCCAGAGGGGCTGTACCAGTTTACATTCCCACCAACAGTGCAGGAGGGTGCCCGTTTCTCCACATCCTCGCCAGCATCTAGAGTTCTCTGATTTGCTCATTTTAGCCACTCTGACTGGCGTGAGGTGGTATCTCAGTGTGGTTTTGATTTGTATTTCCCTGATGAGGAGGGATGCTGAGCATCGTTTCATGTGTCTGTTGGCCATCTGGATGTCCTCTTTGGAGAAGTGTCTGTTCATGTCTTCTGCCCATTTCTTCACTGGGTTGTTTGTTTTTCGGGCATGTAGTTTGGTGAGTTCCTTATAGATTCTGGATATTAACCCTTTATCTGATATGTCATTTGCAACTATCTTTTCCCATTCCGTTGGTTGCCTATTAATTTTCTGGGTTGTTTCCTTTGCTGTGCAGAAGCTTTTAATCTTGATGAGGTCCCAACAGTTTATTTTTGCTCTCGATTCCCTTGCTTTTGGGGATGTGTCAAGTAAGAAGTTGCTGCGGTGGAGGTCAAGGAGGTTGTTTCCTGCTTTCTCCTCTAGGGTGTTGATAGTTTCCTGTCTCACGTTCAGGTCCTTTATCCATTTTGAGTTGATTTTTGTGTATGGTGTGAGAAAATGATCTAGTTTCATTCTTCTGCATGTTGCTGTCCAGTTCTCCCAACACCATCTGTTAAAAAGGCTGTCTCTTTTCCATTGGATATTCTTTCCTGCTTTGTCGAAGATCAGTTGGCTGTATACTTTTGGGTCCACTTCTGAGTTCTCAATTCTGTTCCATTGGTCTATGGGTCTGTTTTTGTGCCAATACCATACTGTCTTGATGATGACAGCTTTGTAGTAGAGGCTGAAGTCTGGGATGGTGATACCTCCCGTTTTGGTTTTATTTTTCAGTATTACTTTCGCTATTCGGGGTCTTTTGTGGTTCCATACAAATTTTTGGATAGTTTGTTCTAGTTTTGAGAAGTATGCTGGTGCAATTTTGATTGGAATTGCATTGAATGTGTAGAGTGCTTTAGGTAGTAATGACATCTTAACTATATTTATTCTTCCTATCCATGAGCATGGAATGTTTTTCCATTTCTTTGTGTCTTCTTCAATTTCCTTCATAAGTTTTCTATAGTTTTCATCATACAGATCTCTTGTATCCTTGGTTAGGTTTATTCCGAGGTATTTTATGGTTTTTTGTGCAATTGTGAAGGGGATCAGTTTCTTGATTTCTCTTTCTGTTGCTTCATTGTTGGTGTATAAAAATGCAACCGATTTCTGTACGTTGATTTTGTACCCTGCAACTTGGCTGAATTCTTGGATCAGTTCTAGTAGGCTTCTGGTGGAGTCTGTCGGGTTTTCTATGTAGAGTATCATGTCATCTGCGAAGAGTGAAAGTTTGACTTTGGAGGAGATAGTTTCTGACCTGAGCTCCTCATTACAGTAAAGTCTGAAGAACAAAAGAGGGCTGAAGAAAGTGGAAGGATCCCCCTGCCATGGCAAGACAGACACTTGGCCAGCACTAGTTCCTGCTTAAGCAATCAGAGTCCATGCCAGTCCCAGGGATCTGAACGTGGAGGTTGGAAAGCGGAACTGCCGTTTTTTCTTAAACCTGTGTTCTTTTCTTCCTAGTGTGTGTGGAAAAGCTCACTTTTTAGTATATCTTCCCTCAAAGGATAAGTACCAGAAGCAGAAGCAGGAAAAGGCTTAGGATTCATTTCCCATTTTGTCTTTAACCTATTGTGCATACTCTAAGCTCCATACTGTGGCTCATACCTCCTCATATCATAGGATTTCAGTTCATCTGTGGTAAAAACAAACAAACAAACAAACAAACACACACAACAAAGAGATCCCTAAACAAATAGGACTGTCATTCCATTGCCACTGGATAAATTCCAGAGCCTACAAAGACCTTTGAGTGACCAGTTTCATTTCCTTTAAGACCATCAGACAGATAAGAATGCCTTCTAATTTAAAGCATTCCACTCAAGGGAATTTCTATTTTTAATTGGTCATTCTTTTAGTTTCTAAATCCTCTCTTATTGTCAGAAAGTTATCTCCTTTTTCTTATTTAAATTCTTCTTGCTATTTCTTAAGGTCGTCACCTTTTTCTCTGGACTCATTGAATATTAAGAAAAGCTGATTTCCATGTTGCAGACAAGTTTGGAGTACTTTGTGGTCTTCTTCCAAAAGGACTCATCTTAAGGCAAAGTAGACTTATAAGCTTCTCAGAGTGTATGTCGAATCTTCCTCAGTGAGGAAAGGGAGGTGAAGGTGAGGCCAGCAGTCCCTGGAGTAGCCTGCCTTTCACTGTCCAGCTGAGCCCTGGAGCTCTGAAACCTATAAATATGCCATTCATTCATCATTGATCAAACACCTGCTCTGCGGAGGTTCTGTGTTATTAGTTTCTGCATTTATATTTATGGCACATGACCTTCCCATAACCTCTGGTGTGGCACCCAAGTATAATGTTCTTGTAATTAGGCTCTCTTGGTTGCAAGTAGAAGAGACTCACTTGAGCTCTCTCACTAAAAAGGGAGTTGATTATAACACAAGGAAAGTGGAACTGGAAAGCCATTGGGAAGGACTGGATTTTCTCTAGCTCTTTCGGGGGAAGTGTGCAGCTCTTCACCATGGTGTGTCTGCTTCATGCCACTGCATTCTCTCCCTCTAGGAAACAGTTTGCTCAGCCTACCCAGAATTGATGTCTATTTAGAACTTTGGATTTAATTTGGCTTAAGCTTGACACAGACTTGGTTCTACCTCTTGGTGTTTCTTCCCTAAGCTTTGCCCTATCTGCCAATTAGCTCAGCATCTCTGTTTCTTGATTAAACTGTCCAGAAAGAAGAACCAGGCCCAGCTGATATCTTCATGCCAGGATATGATATCACCCATCACTGAGCAGCCAATGAATTTGGTTGTTTTTGTGTCAGCTGTCATGCTTAGTCCAACCCACTGTCACCAAAGACATGAGGGAGGGGGAGGACATAGGTTATAAAATGTAAACCTAGGCAGTAGGGAAGAGCTGAGGATGATGCAGTTGTCTAAAAAGACAGTGTCAGCAAGAAGACCCAGATTTGTATCTCTGGTCAGAACAGTAAGGTTATTACTAACATCCCATCGTTTCTCTGTAGTGACCAAATAACCTAAACAAAATGGAGATGAAGACAGGGGGCACAGTGGAATGTATTGGAAGCCAAATAAAGGAGAGATGCTTAGCATTAAGCTGAAATTATTTCTCAGAATAAGACAGTATTTCTGGAAGAAGCAGTGTGGTGCTCTCCTCACCAGGAGAAGCCTACCCAATGTATATGCTTTCTGTAGAGGTCAGTCTGGCAGCTGAGTCCAAGATGTAGAAACCATGACCTACCTTTAACTAGTAAGGACCCATTTGACTCTTAGAAAAGGTTGAATTTTAGGAAAGAGTAACATTCTCTACATTGTTATCCTTGAAAATCAGACCAAGATAGAAGAAGAGTCTGTCTGATTGGAGAGACCAACTTAGCTTTGTAAGACTTTGTCAAAAACATTTTGGCTGTAAAAAGTCCACTGGCCTGTCTTAATTCTTAATACTGCCTTTTATTTATAAGTTGTTCCCTCTACTATCTACTGCAACTCACTACCTATGACATGGCAAAGAAATTCTGTTGAGTTGGTAGTGTCATAGACATTTAAGGTTAATGGGGAAAGGTAAACTCTGGAAACAAGAGGCAGAATTGTACCTGAGCTAATTCAGAGAGAATTTTGGGTGACAGAAGACTTGTTATACTTTTTCTACCTATGTGTATGCTTTTCTTTCCAGGGTTGCTGATAAGCTCAGGCTGTGCATTATACCCCTTAGGATGGAATAGCCCGGAGATAATGCAAACATGTGGGAATGTCTCCAATCAATTTCAGTTAGGTAAGGTGGTCTGGGCAGGATGGCAGTGATGGTTCTTTTGGGAATCTGGTTTTCCAAGAGCTTTACTTCTTGGAGGGGACTCTTCTTGCTAATGGTGCTTGTCTGAGTCTCTGTCATTATGTTAGCTTGTGGGAAGTGGTGACATGGCTAGATTAGTTTGGCCTTGATAACTCACAAAGGTTGAACATAAATTCCTCTTTATCAATTATGTTTCTCTATATCCTTTGTGAACTTTTACCCATAGTCCTGTGACAAGTTTGGGAAAGCCCTATCTACAGGGGTATTTCAAATGTCTAGAAACCGATGATCTGTCATTCTCTGAAAAAATTCTAGTTCCTATTACTATTTCCTTCCTAGGCACTGTTTTCCAAATATAAATCAACACTATCTCTTCTCACTCTCTACGGAGGATATAATAAGAAGTAATCTGCATCAAGCAGATTACCTTTACATTAAGCATTAGGAACCTAGATTAAATACTGGGAATTGTTACTAGCATTTTTACATTGTTACTAGTACATTAATGGCAGGAGCTATCAAATATTAGAATGAGTGACAGAGTAATTCTGGACTCTTCTATGGTTGCCAGTTCTCACTGAGAATGACAAGTTCACTAATGTGAATTGGGACTAGATTAGACTCTAACTGAAAGACTTCAAAAATATTTTCCCAATCTAGAAGAGAGTAGAAGGGAAAATGTCTAGGGTTCCTTAAGTATTCTCAATCATAGGAAAAGATTTTGGAACAATGAGGCCACCTATACCCTATAGCTTATGCTCTAATATTTCCCTTTCTATCTGTTGCCTAAGGCTGTTTTTTGAGTCTCATCTGACACATTTTTTGGAGAAAGGAGTTATTCACTATACAACCACAACATGAAAAATGGCTATATAGAAGATGTGACAAGTGTGGACCCTGGAATATCTAGTGTTAGTGGCTCAGGGCAGAGCTAACTGGCAAATACAATAATTCTGCCATGGGAGAAGGAATGAGTAAATATTTGGGGGAAGGTTCTTAAGAAAAAGGAAGCCAGCCATTATTCTAGCTAGCTGGGATAGAGAATTAAAGATTTAGTACATTTCTCCTATTTTGTTGTTAGACATATAAGTCTACTTTTTAAAATAACAGCTTTATTGATATACAATTCACATGCCATAAAGTCTGCCCTTTTAAAGCATACAATTAGTGCCTTTCACTATATATACAAAGTTGTACAATCATCACTACTATCTAATTCCAGCATACTTTTATAACCCCCAAAAGAAACCCCTTCCCCATAAGCAGTCACTCCCCGTTCCTCTCTGCATCCAGTCCCCCAGCAACCACTGTCAATATAGGTTTGCCTATACTGGAAATTTCATATAAATAGAATCATATAATATGTGGTTTTTACATCTGGCTTCTTTTACTTAGCATGTTCATCCAAGTTGTAGCATGTATCAGTAATTCTGTTTTTCATGGCTGAATAATACTCCATTGCATGACTATAACACATTTATCTTCTCATCAGTTGATGGATACTTGTTTTTTTTAAATTTCCGACTATTATGAATAATACTTCTATGAATATTTTTGTATGAACATAAATTTTCATTTCTCTTGGGTATATATCTAGGTGCAGAATTACTAAGTCAAGTGTGAATCTATATTTAAGCCTTTTGAGGAACTGCAAGGCCATTACATCATTTTATATTTCCACCAGCAATGTGCAAGTGTTCCAATTTCTCAACAGCTTCACCAATACTTATTTTCCATTAAATTTTTAAAATTTTTATTTAATTTTTATTTTTTTATTTTAAATAGTTTATTATTAAGTTGGATTCCATATAACACCCAGTGCTCATCCCCACAAGTGCCCTCCTTCATGCCCATCAACCCCCTCTCCCTCCCCCCACCCCATATGCCCTCAGTTTGTTCTCAGCATTCAAGAGTCTCTCATGGTTTGTCTCCCTCCCTCTCCCCTACTATTTTTCCCCTTCTTCTCCCCCATGGTCCTTTGTTAAGTTCCTCCTAATCCTCCTATACGTGAAAACATATGGTATTTGTTCTTCTCTGCCTGACTTATTCGCTCAGCATAATACCCTCAAGGTCCATCCATGTTGCTACACATGGCCAGATTTCATTCTTTCTCATTGCCATGTAGTATTCCATTGTATAGATAAACCACATCTTCTTGATCCATTCCTCAGTTGATGGACACTTAGGCTCTTTCCATGTTTTGGCTATTGTTGAGAGTGCTGCTATGAACATTGGGGTACATGTGCCCCTATGTATCAGCACTCCTGTATCCCTTGGGTAAATTCCCAGCAGTGCTATTGCTGGGTCATAGGGGAGTTCTACTGTTAATTTCCTGAGGAACCTCTACACTGGTTTCCAGAGGGGCTGCACCAGTTTACATTCCCCAAGCTCCACACCCGAAAAACAAACAATCCAGTGAAAAAATGGGCAGAAGACATGAATAGACACTTCTCCAAAGAGGACATCCAGATGGCCAACAGACACATGAAATGATGCTCAGCATCCCTCCTCATCAGGGAAATACAAATCAAAACCACACTGAAATACCACCTCATGCCAGTCAGAGTGGCTAAAATGAGCAAATCAGAGGACTCCATTAATATTTTTAATGTTTATTTGTTTTTGAGAGAGACAGAGAGAGAACATGAGCAGGGGAGGGGCAGAGAGAGGGGGGGGGGAGACACGGAATCCTAATCAGGCTCCAGGCTCCGAGCTGTTGGTACAGAGCCCGACACAAGGCTTAAATTCATGAACTGTGAGATCATGACCTGAGCTGAAGTCTGACGCTTAACCAAATAGCCAACCAGGTGCCACTGTTTTCCATTTTTAAAAGTTACAGCTATGCCAGTGGTTGTGAAGTGGTATCTCAATATGATTTGAATTTGCATTTCCCTGATAATTGAGGATGTTGAGCTTCTTTTCATTTACTTATTGAACATATCCTTCCTATATCTTCCTTAGAGAAATGTCTATTCAAATTATTTGCCTATTTTTAACTGGGCCATTTGCCTTTTTTGTTATTGTTGCTGAGTTGTAAGAGTTCTTTATGTATTCTGGATACTAGACCCTTTTCAGATATGATTTGCAAGTATTTTTTCTCATTCTATGGGTTATATTTTACTTTCTTGATGATATCCTTTGAAGTACAAAGTTATTTAATTTTGATGAAATCCAATTTTATCTATTTTTCTTTTGTTTCTTGTGTTTTTGGTGTCATATCTAAGAATATATTACCAAACCCAAGGTCATGAAGACTATTTTGGCCATTCTGGATCTCTTATATTTCTATGTAAATTTTAGATTCAGCTTGTCAATTTCTGCACAAAAGCCAGCTGGGATTTTGATAGAGATTGGGTTGAATATGTATATAAGTTTGGAGAATATTGCTACTTTCACAATATTAAGTTTTCCAACCCAAAAACACAAGATGATGTTCCATTGAGTTAGATCACCTTTAGTTTTTTTCAATGGTATTTTGTAGATTTTGGTATACAAGTCTCACTTCTGTTGTTAAATATATTCTTAAGTATTTTGTTGTTTTTGATAATATTATAAATGGAAGTGTCTTGTTAATTTTATATTTCTATTGTTAATTGTTAATGTGTATAGAAATACAAATGGTTTTTCTATATTGACCTTGTATCCATCAAGCTTGCTGAACTCCTTTATTAATTCTAATGATTTTTTTTGGTAGATATCTTAGGATTTTCTATATTTAAGGTCATATTATCTGATAGCAGAGATAGTTTTACTTCTTCCTTTCCAATCTGGATGTCTTTTATGTCTTTTCATTATCTAATTGCCTTGGCCAGAACCTCCACAACAATGTTGAATAGAACTGGTGAGAGGAAACATTATTGTCTTATCCCTGAACTTAGGGGTAAAGCATCCAGTTTTCTACCACTAAGTATTAATGTTAACTATGGGCTTTTTCCCCCCACAGATGGCTTTTATTAGGTTGAGAAAGTTCTCTTTTATCTATTCCTAGTGTGTTAAGTGGATTCATCATGAAAGGGTGATAGATTTTGTCAAATACTTTTTCTTCACCTACTGAGATGATCACATGTTTTTTACTGATTGATTTTCATATGTTAAACCAACCTTGCATTTCAGTGATAAATCACAGTTGGTTATGGTGCATATAATCCATTTTATATGTTATTGGGTTTGGTTTGTTGGTATTTTATTGAGGATTTTTGCATCTATATTCATTAGGGATATTGGTCTATGGATTTATTTCTTATGATGTGTTTGTTGGATTTTGGTATGAAGGTAACATTGGCTTCATAGAATGAGTTGCTACTTTGTTTACTGTAGATTCCAAGGTAAAAGGTTGCAGACATGATTTGCATATAGTCATTTGGCAGTTTTCTGCACTAATCACCACGCTCAAGTGAGCAATTTTATGTGTGGCTGCCTTCGTTTTAAGTTTATGGCCATCAATCATGTTTATCATAGGATCATTATTTTTCTGTTAATTTTTACTCAATATTTCGTTATTGTTTCTCTCTCCATTACATTTTCCTCTTTTATTACCCTTCTCTCCTGTACCATCTGTCTCCCCAAGGACTTTAGCTCCCCTGTCCTCAGTGCACTAGATAATGTAGCTTTGTCAATGCTTAGGGATAAAGAGATTGCTGAATCGTGCTTGGGTCAAGCCTCCCAGTTCCTTATTTCAATCACCCTTTCTAATTCTTTCAGTCACCTAAGTGTCTCTCAACCATGAGCCACATTTCCTGCCCATATTCCTCAATTACAGGCCTCAATATTAACACTTTTCTGGTTGAAAAAAACCTGGTTAATGCTGAAAAGAAAAGACAATCTCTGCCATTCTTGACCCTTTTCTGGTCAGCTGCCCAAATATACATGATGGTGCCAACTATATTATCAGCTGTTCCCTTGTAATATAGAGGTGACAGGAGCAGCAGCAAAACATGTAGTAGAATTTAAAAATATATTTTATGATAGGTTGTTAATACCCA